AGTCGTGTCCGACTCTTTGTGACCCCATGAATCGCAGCACGCCAGGCCTCCCTGTCCATCACAAACTCCCGGAGTTTACTCAAACTCATGTCCATCGAGTTGGTGATGCCATCCAGCCATCTCATCCTCTGTCGTCCCCTTCTCCTCCTGCCCTCAATCCCTCCCAGCATCAGGGTCTTTTCCAATGAGTCAACTCTTCACGTGAGGTGGCCAAAGTACTGGAGTTTCAGCTTCAGCATCAGTCCTTCCAATGAATATCCAGGACTGATCTCCTTTAGGATGGACTGGTTGGATCTCCTTGCAGTCCAAGGGACTCTCAAGAGTCTTCTCCAACACCACAGTTCAAAGCATCAATTTTTCAGCACTCAGCTTTCTTCACAGTCCAACTCTCACATCCATACATGACTACTGGAAAAACCATAGCCTTGACTAGACGGAACTTTAAGGCAAAGTAATATTTCCGCTTTTTAATATTAGACATATGAGCAAGTATAAATCAAAGGTATCCAGAAATGGTCTGTAATCAATCAAAATTTAGACTTCTATTGTGAAACATTTTACATTTCCCTGGCTTGGTTACAAATGTAACTGACAACTACAAGAATGTTAAGGTTCCACTATGCTGTTTTGCAGAGGTGGCAATGGCAACCCACTCCAGTACTCCTGCCTGGAAAATCCCATGGACGGAAGAGCCTGGTAGGCTGCAGTCCATGGGGTCGCAAAGAGTCAGACATGACTGAGCGACTTCACTTTCACTTTTCACTTTCATACATTGAAGGAAATGGCAACCCACTCCAGTGTTCTTGCCTGGAGAATCCCAGGGATGGGGGAGCCTGGTGGGCTGCCGTCTGTGGGGTCGCACAGAGTCGGACACGACTGAAGTGACTTAGCAGCAGCAGCATGCTATTTTGAATCAATGGTTCTTGGAAACACACACACACACACACACACACACACATCTATCTATCTATCAGACTAAGTTGTTTTAGGTATCTATTTTAGAGTGGGCTTATCTAATTCATGCAATCTACTTTGCTGCTATTTATGCTGGTATATTTGACAACTGTCACCCTGAGTGATAAATATAGATTGGTTTCCTTTATTTTCTAGATCTTCAGCTTGACCAAGTAATAAATCACCATCTTTGATTTGGTGGTGGGTGGTGAATAAACTGTGTGTGCGTGTGTGTGTGCACGCACGCACACACACTCAATTGTGCCCAACACTTTGCAGCCCCATGGACTGTAGACCACCAGGCTCCTCTGCCCCTGGAATTGTCCAGGCAAGAATACTGGAGAGGGTTGCCATTTCCTCCTCCAAAGGAATCTTCCTGACCCATGGATTAAACCCACGCCTCTTGCATTTCCTGCACTGGCTGGAGGATTTCTTACCACTAGCACCACCTGCGTGCTTTTGTTTGTTAACTTTTTAAAATCATCCAAATTAAAGATACACTTAAGAATTAATGAAGGTTCTTAATCACATCCATAGAATAGACTCTCGCAGCCATTAAACAGGAAGAGGTAACATTAGCATTAGCATCAAAAAAAAAAAAAGAAAGAAAGAAAGAAACCTGACAGATAAACCAAACAAAAAATGTTTAAGACTTATATACGGAAAATTATAAGACTATGTTTAAAGAACTCAAAGGAAAACTAGAGAGATAATCCATATTCATGAATAGAAGGGCTCAATAGCATTAAGAGGCTGGTTCTTCCTGCTTTAATCTATAGATTCAGTATAATTTCAGTCAAAACCCCAGTAAGTTATTTTGTGGATATCAGTGCATTGATCCTAAAGTTTGTGTGGAGAGGCGAGTGAACAGAATAGCTGACATAATATTGAAGGAAAAGGAAAAAGGTAAGAGGACTGACACTTCTTGACTTTAAGATTACTGTAAAGTTGCAAGGCAGCGTGGTATTGGCAAAAGTTTAAACAAACAGATCAATGGGAAAAACCAGAGTCCAGAACTAGATGCACATACATAGAGTCAACCAATCTTTGATAAAGAAGCAAAGACCAGTCAGCGGATACAGGAGCCTCCCAACAAGTGAGGCTGAAACAACTAGAAATCCACATGACACAGAGCTTATACCTTTCATAAAAATTAACTCAAAATGAATCACAGAACTAAACATAAAACACAAAGCTATAAAATCCCTACAGGAGAAAATCTAAATGATTGAGTTTGGAAATAACTTTTTAAATACATCACCAAAGAAAGTATTCAAGAAAGGCTAAATTCACTTTGAAAGAAAGTTTGGCATATTTTACAAAACTATATGTATCCTTATTATGTAATTCAACTCTCACATTCCTTAGTATTTAACCAACAGAGCTGAAAAATTTGATTCACACAAAAACCTGCACACAAATTTTTAGAGCAGCCTTACCCATGAATTCCAAAATATGGAAGCAAGGGAGATATCCTTCAGTAGGTGAATGGACAAAATTGTGGTACATCCATACAATGGAGTATTAGTTGACATAGAAAAATAAATCAACTATAAAGTCACATTAAGGCATGGAGGAGCTACAGATGTATATTGCAAAGTGATACATGCCAACTGGGAAGACCATGTACTACTGTATGTTTCCAACTATATGACATTATGAAAAGAGTAAAATTATGAAGACAATAAAAAGGTCAGTGGTTATCAGGAGTTTATTGTAAGAAGGGATGAAGAGGTGGAGCACAAAGGATCTTTAGGGCACATAAACTATTCTGTATAATAGTTTATAATGCTATAATAATGAGAATATTAATATTAATGCTATATTAATATTAATGCTATAATAGTGAGAATATGTCATTATACATTTATTAAAACCCACAGAATGTACAAGAAATAATTCCTAATATAAACTATGGTTGGTAATGGTGTGTTAATGTTTGTTCATGTAACAAATGTACCAATATGTAGTGGGATGATGAATGAGGGGGAGGCTTTGCACATGAGTAGAATGGTTATTCTCTGTTATGGGTATTCTCTGTTCTTCCTGCTCAATTTTTCTATGATTCTAAACCTGAAACATAAAATCTATTACTAAAAAAATGATATATATCTGCATGGATTGATAAGGATAAAATGACTCAAATTTATTGCCAGTGAAACAGAGGCCAATTGTATAATCTGCATTGCATGAACTGAACTCTGTGTGCATGTTTGTGTATTTAAATATTATTTTATAAATAGATATACAATCATTCTCTATATCCATGAAAGCATCAAAAAATAACTGAAAAATATATACTAGTTAATGGTGATTATCCACAAATGTCAGCTGAATAATGGGTGATAGCCACACTAGATTTTTATAGTTTATGTTGCTTAATATTTATTATATCTAGTATGTACTGCCTTTCTATTCAGCAACAAAAAAATATGCTATAAGAAAGGAAAACAAAGTTTATGGTCAGTTTAGTCAGGAAGATTGAGGAAATAATATTGGAGTTCTCTCCAGAACTTACGACAAGCTGGGGAGACGTGTTCTGTCTGCAAAACTTCTCCAGAAAGACCCCATTGATAGCAAATTCTCCAACATGCACACTCTGCATAAAAACTAGTTTATGTGACAATGGTGGAGCCAGCACTGTGGCAGAAATTCACCTGCGAGAGATTATACCTGTTCTATCCTGTTTATTGATCAGATGAATGGTGTCATAAAGTCTAGACCATCAAAGAGTAGTCACTGTTACATGGGAGCACTGACTGTTTTACCACAACTGGCCAGAGTTACGTGGCTTCCAAGGGGATGTACCCATCGAAATGTTAGCCCTGACTGAACATTCAGTTAGTGGAGTCATTTTATGCTTGGAACATACTAAACAATCACAAAAGAAAAATAGGAGCAAGAAGTTGGCAGAAAAATATGAAATAAGTAGTTCAGTTGTTATTATGTGCTGTTTTCAGAGTGTGAAACTCTCCAAAAAGTTCAGGAGTAAGGAAGGTAAGGAAAATAAGAGGATGTCAGGACTCAGATGTTAACCTTTTCCCCCTTTAATCATGTTTTTGAAAATGTAGAAATATGTCAATGCTCTGTGGAGGTGTGTCTGGTCCTTGTTGAGAGCTTCCTGCTGCTGTAGTTCTTCACATTCCTTTATGAGCACTTCTTAGAGCGGCTGGGGGACAGCTCTAGTATCCACTGAGCAGAGCTTTTCTGAAAGACACCTACGTGTGAGGGACACTGCAACACCGTGGTCACAAACATGGAGAGACTCGAGGGAGACAGCAGTCTCTGCTCTGCCACCATCTGCAGAGCTTCCAGGAGGGGAACCCCAATCTGTGTTTCCTTAATCCCTCATGGATGTTTTTATTTAATGCCACAAATAAGGACCAAAAGTGCCCTAAACTCCAAACCATACCCCAGCTCGATGAAGTAAACAAAAGCTCCTGGGATAAATGAAACAAGTGGCTACTCACTTTGAAAGAGACCTCTTACTCTGGGCCTCACCCTGCTCTTGACCTGTCTTTTTTACATCTGACAGTCATTGGCTTTTTAATGAGATTTAGGATTACCTACTTTGCTCTGCCTCTGAAATTTTTGTCCCTCTGACTTATGTCCTCCTCTGTGGGCCCCTTCAGTCTACCAGCTGGGCCCACATTGCTTGTACCCATGGTTCTGCTCCAACTTAGAACATGTACCTGTTCCCTCAGGCCCTGCTCCAGAGCAATGAGTCTGCAATGTTTTCAGCATCTACGTACACCCTTTACCTAAAGGGTCTTTTGAGACTTAAAACCCTCTGGACTTGATTGGCACCCAGCCCAGGGAGAGACCAGCTGCTCTGTAAAGGCTTTCATGGATTCAGCATAGTTAAGAGATAACTCATAGGGGCCATTCCCGCCTCTTTCCTCCTCCACAGGAGAACTCAGTACACACTTAAGAAGCTTCCTTCTCATTTCTTTAATGTTTCAGGAAACATGCACAATGGACAAATCGCCTTGAGTTCATCTGCATTTCTGTAGGAGGCAAAAGTTCAACGGAGGGATGCTCCCAGTTTACTGTGACGTCTGCTCTGCTGGAACCAGATACTGACATCTCCTGCCCCAAAAATCCAACAGCCTCACAATACTTGGGCAACAGGAAGCATGAATGCTCTTTGCAGGTGGTCCAACAAAGAATGAGAAGCTATTCTTATTTTCAAGTAGCCCAGAACTCTCAGACTCAGGATACGCAACACTTTTTTTAATGTGAAAAGTAGAAGAGACTGGCCATATCTCTCGCCCACTACTGCTTCCTATAAATTCCCTTTCCTGAGTTAGGACCCAAGTTAGAGCTTTCAAGACCTGCTTTCCCTGACTGTTGAAATTATGCCACAGGAAGGGGAAGAACATAGAACTTTCAAACCTGTTCACTGCAGCCCACGACTATGAGGACCTGCCCACCAGATATTAGCACCCTTACTACTAGCAACAAGACATCATCTTGGTAATTTGACTTTTCACCCTTCCTAATAAGCACATGTGATACACAACTTGCAGTTTCTCAGTTGCACAATCAGAAACCTGTGACATCACAAAGCTCTGAGCAGCATGTGGGAAGCACCCTAGCAACCAGACCCAATAAGGTCAATGCTTCTCTGGACTGGAGAAACGGCACAGATGGAATGAAGCTGTCTCAGCTTAGCCTTTTGTAATAAGTTTTGAGAATTCTACCAGGGCTAAATAACCAGAAGTTTCTGTTTGGTTTTATTTTTGTTTTAACCGTCAACCACATGCTACTGCATCAAAGCAGCCAGTCCCCATAGGTGATAACACATAGTTTTTATCCATTCCACAAGGGTGGGATTGGCCCAAGATGAAGGGATGCGGCTAGTTCTCTAATAATGGCAGTGCCTTTCGGGAGAAGTGGGCTGCCTCTTTCAGAAATGATGTTTTAATTGGAAAAAAAGAAAAAAACCCTTTCATCACCCTCACTATAGGTTTATGAAACTTCTTCCCAATCGTGTGATTTTGATAATCACAGATGAAATCCAAAGTAAAGCTCAATATCTTAGATGTTATGACTTCTTAGAAATACAGGTGTGGAGGCAAGGCAATTCTTTTTCAGGCTAAACTGATGGCCTAGATACCTTTTTCTGTGCATGGTCACAGTCCATTTCTTAAATTTACCTGACAAAATTCACTTGGGAAGTTTGTAAACAAGAAGACTCCTGTACCCCTATCTTGGTGACTGGTTCTGCAAGTCTGCAGAGAAGTGAGGGTATTGCCCCTTAAACAATGACCCCAGATGACTGATGTGATTATATGAGAGCAGAGCCTTCCTTCTGCCAGAGCTATGCTCTAACAAACAAGAGAATCCCAAATTATGTTAACAGAAGACAAATCTGTGATACTTTGATTCTAGCTCTGGATTTAAATGCATTAAATCCTGACAATGAAGGAGAGTAATTCTCTGATCCTTGGATTTCTTTGATTTCCTTAATCAAGGGAAAATCCTTGATCGCAGAAAGAGGCAGTTCAAGCCCTTCTAGGGGCGGCATTTGTATCAGTAAATGAAACAAAACCAAACATTCTGTTCATCACAGAAATCATCAGTATAACATTTTAAACTTGAATTTGTGAAGTGAGAATACACATTCACTAATGTACTCAGTTGCTCAGTCATAAATACATATGCACAAATCAACCTGCTTTTTTAGCTTTCCAACTGATCTCCAAGTCCTGATCTGATCTCCATATCCTATTAGTTCTGCCCACAGGAAAAGAAGAACAATTTCCAAATTTCCAGCATTTGGAAAATAAAATCCTCCTGTAAGAATCCAGAGGTATTGCCTTCTCCTTTATTCCATTTCTCAAAGAGAATAGCTCTGAAGCTCCCAGAAACTGGCTACAAATTAGGGATAACCATAGAGGATTCATTAAGTAAATTATAGTATATATTCATTATTATGATGCAACCATTATGATGATACTTATAAATAACTGATAATGACATGGGAAAATACAATATAATGATCCATAAGAGAACAAAATGTATAGGCACATAACCACATTACATAATTTCACCGATTACACATAAATATACAATCATTTATGTGGAAATATGACTAAGGTGTAAGGTATAAAAATATTTTATTTTTTTTAAAGTAAATGGGCAACAAATAAGTTCCATAGTATTCTTTAGATTTTTTTTCTAGGTCTTTTCTATTATTAAATTTAATGCATCTTTATTATTTTTTAGAATAAAGCGTGGCTTCCCTGGTAGCTCAGCAGTAAAGAATCCACATTCAATACAGGAGACCTGGGTTTGATCCCTGGGTAGCGAAGATCCCCTGGAGAAGGAATTGGCAGTGCAATAGAGGGGGAAATTACTTCCATGTTAAAAATAATTTAAAGCATGTTAAGAAACATGGTTTGCCAATCATGGCTCTAGGATTTGGGCAGACTCGCTATGGGCGGGGACAGTTACCATTAGTAATAATCCTACTTGCTTCTAGGGTCATCAGGGAATGTTTTATTACCGATGCTACAAGGACCCTTGAGAACGTGTAGGAACACCTGGCACCATGTTCTGTTCCATGCAGTCAGTCCAGATCAGAACTCCATGGGCAGAGCAGGCAAAGGAGCTGAAAAGATGACTTGATAGCCAGCTTAAAAAATAATGGTACTTTTTACAGTAGTCTTCAGGATACAGAAGACTTTGAGGTTAGATGTCCTGTTATCCAGAGATGACACAGAAACCAGCAGGCAAAAGTTACCGGAGGGTTCAGGTTTCAGATCAGCACAAAGAACAACTTACTATCTGAGCTCCTGAGGAGGGCAGCTTCCCAACCCTTCAGAGCTCAGTCTGACACTAGAGGATCATCTGTCCAGGAGGCTGATGAAGGAATGGTCATCTTCAGCAGCAAAAGCTGTGTTAAGTAATACGCAAGCTTCCTACTCAGGTAGGGGACCCTAAGGAATCAGATCTATGAAGCTGAGATTTTATTTGACCAGGCAAGCAGACAGACATGACTACTCCCATCATAAAGAGGAGAAAGTTGAGGCTCAGAGAACTGAATGCCCAAGTCATACAGCTAGAGGGTAGTAGAACCACTAACTTTAAATCAATGCTGTGAGCACCAGTATATGTACTCAAATACCAGGGTATATGTATAAAGCCAGGATACCTATAATTCTAAAAAGGATTCAGGAGATAGATCCTTGAGTGGTAAACAGGAAGGAGAAATGGCAACTTCTTCCTCAACCTTTGGCCTTCATGACAGCATTACAGCTTGCATCTTCTTGCTTCATCCAACACAATAGTTTTCTAGGAGAAAGAGTCAGTCGTAGCAGAAGTCACAGTCAAATCCAAAGCTTTATTCTCTGAAAGGCTCTCTGAATTGCCTGAGACATGATCCACACAGCAGCCACACTTGTCGTGACTGGGTCTGAGGATGGGACAGTAGCTGCTGAGGCAGGAAGGGAAAGGCTGTGAACGTCACCAAATAAAGACATGCTTGGGTGCTGAGTGAGAATATGAGCCACAATGGAGCAGGAGCCTTCTGCCTCTGGTTCCAAGAAAACTCCTGTGCTCTTGGTTACAGGGTTCTTGAAGAAATACATGCATTCCTGTCAGAGAAAACCCAGCAGCATAGAAGAGGACTGGGAAGGAGGAGTGGTCTTTCTTATCCATGGTTTCTGGCCTTTGGCCCCTGATTGTAGTTGTTGTTGGCGTTGTTGCTCTGCCACAAAGAGACATCATCCAAAGGGGGAAAAAAAAAACAGAGAGAGAGAGGAGAGAAAATGCTAGTAAAATAAAACTGGGAGCATTAGACAGGTTTTTATTTCTTCTTTCCAGAAAATTGTCAAGGCATTAACATGGTACTCAGCATTCTGATTTCTATGACTGGCAATTTTATTCAAGTGAGTTCTAGGAAGAAGGGAAAATGATTCCAATGAATGTTTATTAAGTACATACCATGAAAGAAGCACTCTGCTAGATCCACGTGTTGAATCATGTTAAGCTTGTGAAGATCTTCTGAAGTGGCTAGGATCACTGTGCTTACTTTACAGATATAGAAACATACAGAGAAATGGCACTAACCTGTTTGACGTATTATTCTTATAGACCAGGTGCAAAAACTGAATGCTTAAGGAAGGTTATGAGACTTGCGCCCAGATTCCACAACAAATACAGGACAAATCTGAACTAAAACTCCAATCTTCTGGATCAGGCTGATGATTTTCTCCTCACCTAAAAAAATATCCTGGACTAGTGCTCATAAAGCATGACCATGAGTATCTTATGAAACTTCCTGGCTCATAGAAATTTCCTGAATAACTCTCTTAAATATCAACATATATAGTTGAAACAAAATTTCCCTGGACATGTACAGTGAGTCAGACCCTCACTCTGTCAGATGCTCTCATAGCTGACTTGTGAAATGGTATTTTTATCTCCTTATTAATGGAATATAAGTGCCATATTTGAGGTCTCAGAGCCAGTTCGTAGCAAAGAAGGAATGTGAAGCAAGTCTTCTGACCCTCAGCCCAGGTCTCTCCACTTTACATCTCAGATTAACTTCCCAAATGGAAGAGAGTTCTTGAAACAACACAACAGCTAAAACCATTTAAACTTGAATCTCAGCCACTTTGACCTTAATAGCATGCTTTAAAAATTTTCTCTAAATGTCTTAGCCTTTAATAATTAATTAAATTGAGCTCATAAACAGGGTAATCCTGACTTTACTATAATGAGGTGTTTTATTCTCCCTCATATAATTTTACTGATAACTGCGATCACTTTCAACCAAAGTAATGAATGCCCTTCTCAAGGAAGAGAGTTGACATCTCTAAGGTTTGGTCTACATGTTACCTTCTCACAATGAGGAACCCAAAACCATGAGATCAGGTTAAAACAGGTAAAGGCAAATCTTCCCAAAAAGAAAAGACAGATTCATTTTAAAATCAAAATTAGTCTTTGGGGATAGAGAAAGAGATATATCTACATCTTTACAGAGGATGGATATGTATCACTAAGCAGCCAATATGGTAGGAATGAACTCTGCTGGCCCTTATGAATTAGCAATTTTACAGAGATGCTTTCAGTGAAGCTCTGAAGTCAGCAACATGAGGATCTATAACACCAAGAGACTGTGAAACAGCAGTGTTTCCAGAACTGAACTTCAGCAGGAAGACAAGCAATCATGCTAGAAGGGCAGGGAGTGCACCAGACAAGAGACCCGAGGGATACAGAAGTGCCAACTCTTGAAGCAACCTCATCATACATTTGGAAATGGAAAATAATACCTCCTTAGATTCTGTTACTACAGATCAATGAAAGAATGTCCCTGCCATTATGTAAATAGCCCTAATACTTTTAGTTGACTATTGCAATTAAAAGAAGTCTA